AGATGACTATGCATAATGCCAAGAAACAGGAAAAAAAAAAAGTTACTTTTGGCTTTTTCTCGCCTCCGTTCTTTTCTTTTCACGGGAAACAGCAGCAGGTGGGGGAGCGAACAGTCTGCCTCTCCCGGTGGCTGGCTGCCCTGCGCTTACTCTGCCCCAAGCAGGGTTTCCCCTGCGGAAGCAGCAGGTCACCCCCTGCGAAGCTCCTCACCCCTCCGGGTGGTAAGTCATGTAAAGAGGCGTGTGTGAGATAGTCGCTTATCACTAGAGAGGGGCTTCTTTTCTTTTAAGATTTTTGTTTCTGTTCTTTGAAATGGTTAGCCATTAGCATGATTTAACTGAACAGTGAATCTCAGCAAACAGAAATCTCTGCCGATTTCAAATGTGGTCTTTGGGGTTCTAAGACCGAGGCAATGCGGAGCCCCCGGAACAAAGATGAGGTGTAGAGATTCTTTCTGTTTCGCCACTTGGTGGTAGGTGTGTCTATTGGGAGACTACAGGTGGTGTCTATGAGGCGACTACAAAGCCTCTAAAGTTTACGCCTGCAGCCCACAGTTAGTGCTGCAGAAACGTTTCCTGGGGCCGAAACAAAGATAGTGATAGGAAGCGATCGTTTTATGTAAGAAGCTGCCGGAGAGCTGATGTGGGTTTCAAAGGTCAGTCTCAAACCTCAACTGCTCAAGCAAACCTCAGGTGTCGCCAAGATTTCAGCCACCACGGATGAACAGACCCAGATCATGGCGTAGAATCTCTGAAAATTAATTTTCTTTCTAGGAAAAGGCGGGTGGTGGGTGGTGATGGTGGTGGTGGCCACCTGGGCCAAGGGAATGTGAGCATGCCGTGCTCCTCTGAAGTAGTTTAAAATCAATCGCTTCTATTGTGTTGTTGTCTAAGGCAGCCCACCAAGGTGAAAAGTGTGTGTGTGTGGGTGTGTGTGTGTGTGTGGGGGGGGCTGTAATCATTTTTTCCTCCTCCAAACTAAGGAGAAGTAAATATTTATAGGAGAAGCACTAGAGGACCATAAGAAATATTTTTATGACACTTTACAGACTTCTAAACATTTTACATACTCAAAATTCATTCTTCTAACACGCATCTGAGCCTACAATGTCAAGCATCATCTCAGGTGTATCAAGACAGGAACTCCCACTAGTGAGTGAGGCAGCTACACAAGTGATAACCACTTGCAGAATCAGAAAAGAAAGATATATTTATAAAGACCGACGGGAGCTTTTGGTGAATGATGTTAGCAAGTTGTTGGGACACCCACCAACTTCCTCATAACCTGAACAATTTCCCTGCTCTTTTTCTCACAAGGAAAACCAAAAAACAAACAAAGCTGGCTCAAAATGCTAACATTTCATTCTTTAGTACAAGTAAAGCCAAAGTATAATTTTAGGAACGCTAACAACATGACCTTCATACAAATATAAATTAACAGATTTTTAAAAATTATCTCATTAATGAAGGATCCAATACAACGATAAAGTTGGTTCCAAAGAACTGGGTGTCTGTAAGCATTAAGAAGCATGTTGGGATAAGGTTACTAGGTTAGATACACACCTGGCTAATAGCCTACAGTAGCCATTTTCAACTAGCGTGCCCAAGAATGTTTAAAACATGCAATACACCCGACTATTTATTCAGTCAGGGGCACTGACCTCTTTTCCCTCAGATTGCCAAATAAGAAAATGACAACAGCCGACGCAATAGCCAGTGTGAATGAGTCAAAACTATACCTATTTTCATTGTCAGATCAGCAAAGTATATATTTTTGGTGTGCTGCAGAATTTTAGTAATTAGTTTATGTGTGCCAAGAGATGAAAAAGGTTGAAAATCGCTACAGGGTAATAAAACCATAACTTTTGAGGTCATTTTGTCTCCCAGAGAGAGACCTACAAGCTAACGTGTAGCTTTCTGGTGTCTGGGCTCTAAATACAAGTTTAAACACAGACACATTCTCCTCAGGAATAAGCGCTGCCAACGAAACAGCGCCCCAGCACGACTCTGTCCGGACAGGCAGCCTCACCCTATTTCTAAGTTTTGCCTAAGTTTTCTTAATCACAATGATGTGATTATTAACATCACGGATATACGGCCTGGACCCTGGCTCCGGGTAGACTAGCGAGGTGTACTAGCTGCACGAAAGTCTTTAAAATGAGGCTCCGACGAGAGAGGAAGTGACTGGTCCTTAAAGGCTTCCCAGAGAAGGGGATGTGAAAAGTGCACCCTGAAATATAAACCTGCTTTTGAGGACAAGAAGTAACCAGATTCCATCAGAGTCTCTTAGGCACTTCTCACAAAGGGCCTATTCGTATTCCATTTGATTTCAGACTTTTTAACGTGTTACTTTGAACAAGCATGGTTATAATGTCCACCTAGTAATTGCAAGCAAATGTATAATTGCCAGAGGCAGGCAACCATCACCAAAGGCAGAGGGAACAACCAAGAGAAATGGGAGAGAGAGAAATCTACAGAAAGAAGACACCAACGTTCAAAGAACCTCACGGACAGACTCGTGCTCCCAGGGTAGACGAAGAGCCTCTGGCTATTTTTAATATCTTTTGTGATATACCTGAATGTGATTTTCACCTTCAAATGACTGAAGTAAGTTTGGTGATTAAGGGGATACATTATGCATTTTCTTGATGGTTCTGAATAAACAGCATGTTACCAAACATAGTTTGTAAGGTGCTCTTTGTTTTTTGGATCAAAAAAATTTTAATGGAAACACAAAATTATAATTTTTCTCCATCAATAGAGAAAAATATGGCGTTTAAACACCAATATTGCTTTGCAGATAACTATTGGACAAAGGTAAAAAGTAGTTCAGTGAGAAATGTGGTAAATTTTATGCCAATTAGAATTTAAGCCATTTAGTCTCTGGAACCAGAAAAAGCATACCCTTCCCATGCTGACACATCCAGTGTCTCATATTGGCAAGACACCAGAATTTTTGTCTGTTTATTAAACATGGCTTTCATCTAAGCTACAAACAGAGAGACAAACAGTACCTATTAGGAATGCCATAAGGCTATTTGTCACTACTCAACTGATGGTTGTTCTTTCTTTATAAGTTATGACAACTTGAAATCAAACTGTTAAAAACAAGTGTTTTCTTTCATCCACATTTGAAAATTCTAGTGAAAGGCAAAGAGTTTTTTTCCTCTAGTAACCGTCATCTAAGTTGTGTATGATCAAAACACCAGAGCAAAAGAGAATAATGATGATAAAATAAATTTACAGTAAAAGTCCATGAAGTAAATCCACAACATAAAATTACAAAGAAAAATCCACAACTAAATCTTTTTTTAAAACCTAAAATAATACTTTCAATACTATGGTATTTAGCATTTCTACCAGTTTAGTCTTTTCTCTTAAAAAAGAAACCAGTAGGTATGCCTAAGCTTTTCATGGGGTTAATTCACTTGTCCAAAAATTTTAATTCTGATAATACATTGTACCAAAATCTAAAAATAATAAATGCTTAATGGACACTTACATTAACGGGAGATTGTGAATACTTTAAGGTAAGTTAGTCAAATTCATTCTTTGATGAGGCAAATTCTTATACCTTGAAATCTTTCAAAGTATGTAATTTAGAGAAAATATAAAGTATATAGGGAAAGCCTTTGTAAGCCAAATACTCAAAATCAGAAACTTAAATGCATGTTTGAAAATCAGTTTCTAACAATTAAATAAAAACTACCTTTAAGCAAGCTTTTATCTTCTTTAAAATGTAAATTATATAGTAAGAGCATAGAATTTTCTATTATTCATATCACCAAAAAGAGACCTGCAACCTTTTAATAAATTGCTAGCAATAGTGTAAAATGTGACAAATTTTATTATTTTCATTATTTTTACCCAGTTCCATACTTGGTTGAGTAAAAATAAGCTTAATGCACTTTGGGGCAAATAGGGATTATGTTGTGAAGTGGCTTTGATATGGTTAATATAATAATAACAAACAAATATTCTTAGCATGTACATAACTTATTTGTTAACTGATGAAATTTACCATATGATTTTGAAAATTAACCACATGTATAAAATGTCTCCAATAAAGAGTTGATGTCACTTTGATCATTTATAAAAGTGAATAAAATTGGACCGCATTTAATGACTATTCAAAAATTTATATACAAATTTATATTTGTACTAAGTATTATAGTTTTAATATAAGGAGAAGTCTTTGTGAGTTCTTCCCTTTTTTTTATTTCAGGGAAGGGAAGGGAAAGGGAGAGGAGGATAGATACATCAATGACGAGAGAGAATCTTGGATAGGTTGCCTCCTGAACACCCCCGACCAGGGATCGAGCCCACAACCCTGGCATGTGCCCTGACCAGGAATCAAACCATGACCTTTTGGTTCATAGGTCAGCGTGCAACCACTGAGCCATGCTAGCTGGGTGAATTCTTTCTTTTTTTAAACAACTATACATAGTTTTGCCCAATTCATTAAAACCAAGCTATTTCCTTTAAATACTTATGTAGAAATTTTATTTTCTAAATATAAGGTAAAAGAAATAGAGAATTTCAGTGCCAAAAGACTTTTTAGAGTATAGGGATATCCCAAACTTAATTTATATCAGAAGTCCCGATAGTTTTTTGTTGACGAGCAGATGGCGAGGCCCCTCCCCACCCATCTGACTCAGTAGGCCTGGGTGGGGTCTGGAAATAACCAGTGCACCCCCACCTCACTCCATGGTGATTCTCATGTAAGGGAAGAACAAGGCAGTGGTAGTACATGTTTCCCACCCCCCTTCCTTGCCCCCCAAGTCAGGAATTCTCCTACCACAGGGACATTTTATTGAGGTTTTTTCTGCCTCAAACTACTCCCTCCCTAGCTCTTTGCCTCCTAGGGCGGCCCATTTCATATCTAATGGAAGTTTCTAATAGAATCCTTTACATTTAAAACATCAAGTCACTCAACATGGGCTTACATGAATACACCGATGCAAAGACACACTGAAGAATTAAATGCGGGAAGAACTGACCTGCTTCTGCTGGTATTTGTTTATCAGATTCAAAAACAAGGCGTAGCATCTGGAACAGTTGGCCAAGGCAATACAGCAGTCACGGTAAGAAGTAAGTTTGCTGCAGAAATGCCAAATGAGAAAATAAAAGTAAACTTTGTTTTCCCATAAAATTCATGTATACATTGTGTTACTGTAAATGCAGATCTTCAAAGCATTGCCCAGGGCATGAAAAGAGTCTAGAGAGAGTCCACACACCAGTCCGGAGGAGCCTCGGGAGGTTTGCTGTCTGTGGTGGGCATGGAGTGGGGACATAAGAAAGGCTCTTTGACAAACAGAAACCCGAAGCCTGTAACACATGCACATGGTGTGATATATATATATATATATATATATATATATATATATATATATATATGAAAGATTTAATTATATAGTCTTCAGATAAAGAGGTATACAATAAGGATGATTTTTTCATCATTTCACTCATTCTTAAGACTGTATGCCTCTTCATATCTCATAGAGTTTTCTTTTTTTACCTTACTATGCTTTTGCCTAGCTTTACCTTACTATATATGTAGATTAATCAAAGTTTGGTATACAATAGCTGTTTATATAAGGTCGTTGTGTTCTGTGACAAGGAAAATAGTACATTATGAGGTCCACAAAGTGCTAAAGGAGGAGATAATTAATTTTGAGTGGGCATCAGGGAAGGCGTCTGAGGGGTGGTGTCATATGGGTTGTGCTAGTAAATTTTAACCCATTTCTGTCTCCCTCCACCCAAACCCAAGCTCTTGAGCCTATACTGTACTGACTCCCAGCCCTTTACTCTTAGGTCTACTGTCTGGGTCTATCTGCAGATGAGGGCTTACTTCATCCCTGGCCTTCTATGACAGTGGCAGGTAGGATTATACTAATACTAATTTTTTTAACACTAACAGTAAAACTAATACCCAACCCTAATTAAGCACTCCCTAGATGCCAGATCCTTTCTTAGTAACATCACATAATTTACCATCGAGACATCATTTTAAAAATATCTCTGTTGAGATATATTTGACATACAATAAACCTTACATGTCTAAAGTATCGAATTTAATAAATGTTGACATATGTATGTGTTACGCCCAGACTTCGTGATCCCCAAGGACCACCAGGGAACCGAGTCCGATGCAATAAACAAAAGAGCCTTTTCCATGCTAGCATGGGCTCTGTCCCACACATGCCGACAGCATGGCGGAAGAGAACGAATTTCGCCAAGCCCTGGGGTTTTACTCCATGGTGATGTCACTGCTTTGGTGTGAATTTTCACAACCCACAACATCACGATTCAGAAAATGCAGGCCAAGAAATTTAGACAAAATCTGGTTGGATACCAACTCATGACTTCTTTGGGACCCCACCAGCAGCAAATGTGCTAGGTGCGCACTAGGCTGCTAGTGGTCTACTAAGGTCAGGCAGAATGGACCAGAAGGCAAAAAGCCTTAAGCATAGCTTCAAAGTTTCTAAAGCAAGCAAGCATGCAAACCAATAAAACCAACAAGGCAATATGGACAACCTTACATCAAATTGGGAGACAATTATACATTTCTCATTAATTGATAGATTAATAGGTAAAACATCATTACTATTTTAAAAACTTGACCATGTACTGGGCCATTAACAAGTCTCAGTGCATTTTTTGAGAATTGATAGCTCACAGATCACATTCTCTGATCAGTGAAATAAAATTAGAAAGCAATATTTAAAATTCATTACATTTTGGAAATTTAAAAACACAATTTTTGGGTCAAAGAAACATGAAAAGAAAAAAAAAAAAGCACTTAGAAATACTACAAAATACTACCAATCAACATTGTTGGGATGTAGCTAAAGCAGTAGTTAGAAAAAAAATAATAAAGCCTTAAAAGGTTGAAAAGACATGAATTGAGTTTCTAAATAAAACAGTTAAAAAGAAAAATATACCCAAGGAAAGTAGATAAAAGAGATTAATAAGGATGAGAACAGAAGTAATAAAAAAGAAAATAAACATGCAGTAGGGTGTATCAATAAATCTTTTGGTTCTGCAAAAAATTGGAAAAAAATTGGAAAGACTGATTAAAAAAAGAGAAATCTTATAAATAATCATAATGAGAAATGAAAATCAATATTAACAATAAAGAGGTAGTAGAAATAGTGGTTAAATGTATGACCTCTAGAGCCAGACTAGCTGGTTTGAACTGCAGCTCTATGTTTTATTAGCTGGGTGGCCCTGGAAGTACTACCAAACCTCTCTACCCTCCATTTCCACATGTAAAATGAGGATAATAACTACAGTTCCTGTCTTTTAAAGTTGCTAAAAGGAGTAAATCAATTAGTAGTTGGCAAGTGCTTAGGCTATTGCCTGGCAAGTAGTAGGCACTATAAAGTATTTGTTAAACAAGTAAAATAAATAAAAAGGGGCATAATTAGAGATGGATAAGGGGGTATTTGGGACAATATCCCAAAAATGTTGATTGGTAGTATTTTGTAGTATTTATAATATTAAATAGGTGCTTTTTAATTTTCATGTTTCTTTGACCCAAACTTAGATAAAATGGACAAATTCATAGGGGAAAAAAATTTTTTTTAATTGACACAAAGAGAAATAGGAAATGGGTTAGGTATTGACCAATAGAGAAAGTGACTCAGTAGTCAACGATATTCACACATTCACACAAGGACAAAATAGCTTCTCCAGCAAGTTCTATAAGCTTTTCAAGAAAAGATAAGTTTAATTTTCACAAATTCTTCTAGAAAAGAAAATACCCCAAAATGCTCTCCAATTCATTTTATGAGGTTCATGGAAACCTGACATGGAAACCAGACAAGGCCAATTTGACAAAGGAAAAGTACAGGTCAATTTAACTCATGACCATAATGAAAAATCCTAAACTAAATGTTAGTGAACTAAACTTAGCAAAATGTAGTGGTTTAACATGAAAAAAAAATCTATTAATGGAATCTGCTACATTAAAATTTTAAAAAAGGAAAACCACACAGCAGATTCAGGACAAGCATTTAAGAAAATTTAACAGCCCTTTATAGACAAAAATTTTCCTTAGCCTTCTAAAGAGATCTATAAAAACCTAAAACAAATATTATTTTTAACTGGTAAAACTATAAAAATATTTCCTTTAAAGTTGGGATAAAGGCACCAGGCCAAACTCTCTCAAAACTTTGTATAGGGCATCCTAAGCAATCCAAAAAGAAAGAGGTGGGGACATGGAAGAGGAGTTGTAATAAATGGGAAAACATTATCTTCCAAGAGAATCTATAAACTTTTACATCTAATATTCATCAAGATCCATGGATACCTAATAATCAAACATCAATATTACTCACATACACTAGCAACAACCTATTAGAAAACAATTTTTAAAAAGATTACATTCATAATCACAGCAAAAGCTATGAAGAAATAAATCTAACAAAAGATGTGCAAAATACTTTTGGAGAAAATTATGAAATGTTATTGAAAGATATAGAGGAAAATAAGACATCATAAATGTTGATGGATGAAAGACTCAGTTTCATAAAGATATTCATCTTCCCACTCCCACCCCAATTACTCTACATACTCAGTGTAGGTCCTTGAATAACCCCAAAGTTCCTATCATGGACCTTTGGTGATTCTCCAATTCATAAGAAAGAGAAGAATTTGGACTCTAAAGGAGAAAATAAGTGATGGATTCATTTTATAACCAGGCATATTAAATCCATAATAGTAAAACAGTGTCTAATGGTCTGAGAATAGACCAAACAAATGCCCAGAAACAGACCTACAAGTGTGCGGAACCTTGTGTTTTATTGACTAGATATTAAAATCAGTGGGGGAAAAAGATGGTGTCGTTGACTAAAGGTGCTGGGACAGTTGACTATCCATCTGGGAGAGAAATTAAATTGGATCCCCACATGCCACCATACACAAAAAATAACTTGATCCTTTACAGTGCTTCTAAAAGGGAGTCATAAGTACCCAGAACAAAGCTCAGGAAAGTGCAGTGCTACGAGATCAAATCTAGTGCCACATTTTCAAACTGGGGTCAATTACCAATTCAGTCTTCAGGAAATTTTCTATTTTTTAAAACAACTATAGTACTAGAGTTCAGGAAAGGGTCAGGTCTCTTGAGAAGGATCATTATGTAAAAACACCAGCAAAGTGCAGTGAGGAGGAAGGATAAATACTTTCAAGGTGGTTATGAAACTTGACATCATGCTTTGAGGCAACCTGGATTCAGATGATCGTCAGTTCTGCAGTACAGTGTGGACATGACCAGTTTATGTGTGAACCAAAGTTCAGCCAAACAACAGAAACAAAACTTCTATGACAAATTGTCAGATCAGACTTTCTCAGCAATGATCTCCTTTTGGAGTTAAAACCCTTAAGTATTGTTTCCAAGTGTATCAGAAAATTTGCTATATTTTTTGAAATAGTTCTTCATCTCCAATAAACTAACAGAAATTTTTGTTTGTTTTGTTTGTTTTGTAAAAACACTAAGATAACTCACAACTCACCAAAGAACTAAGGTGACTTACAATTGATGAGTTTAGAATCATATTAGAAATACATAGGAAATTGAGTCACGGGTTTAAATAATTTATTTTAAGCTGGGACCATCAGAGTTGCCTTTGCTGTTAGGTGAAGTAAGAAGCAAAATTAGGATTCCTTGCCAGCCACACGCACAAATATTAAGGATAACTGAAATCCAAGCATTGGCCTTTTTGTAAGGCTACCTTGTTGCTCAGCCTACCTACCTGAATATTCTGGCAATATTGGTGCAGACATCCTTGTCACTTGTGTACTGTCCCATCACCATGCAGAGCTGGGTCATGGCGCCGATGCTCAGCAACTTACTTCTTGCTAGGGGTGAATCAACCAAGTTTCTCAAAGTAGCAGTCATCTAGGATAAAAGCATGTTTGTGCCTTTTTTTTTTTTTTAAACACCAGAAAATATAGCAACACAATCAGCATACCACAACTCATCCCATAAGTTTCATTATATTTGTTATGCATCTCCCACTAGAGAATGTGGGCCTAGGCACAAATAGAATAAAAAGAAAACCAAGAAATGAATACAAAGAAAGCCGGCATTGGTTCAAAGGTAAAGAATGTTCATGTTAATTATCAATTAGTATACCAAAGCCCCAGGGTTATAGAAATCATCATCTGAGTTTGTCAACAGAAATAAGATCTTTAGTGACTCTGCAATGTTTCCACCTATAGGAAACATCTCTTCCCATAGTCTTATAAGTAGCATCAAGGAATGCTGTGGCCAAAACATATTTAAGACTATTAGTTTCATTCATTCTCTTCTAAGAGGCAAGTATTGATTTTTTTAAAAAATTTGTCTCATTTTTGTAAAAAATGTTCAGGAGAACTATCTACTGTAGCCTTTGTCTAAAAGAAGAGAAGAGTAGAGAAGAAAAAAACTTAGTAAATCCATAAAACTAACATAGTTATCTTATACTCTTAATATGCACTGTGATTTGTCCTTATACTATAGGATTAAAAAGAGGATAATATAGTTGTTATCTTATACTCTTAATACACACTGTGATTTGTCTTAGCCAGGTTACTGATTAAGAGAGTCAGGTCAGGAGTTGGATGGCCTGGCCAAGTCCTAGCCCCACAACTCACTAGCTTGGATTTGTTAGTTAACTCCCCAGAGCACATTTTTTTCTCATTGGTAAAGTGAGGGTGGTAACAATTGCCATGGGTTGTGAGGATTCAATCAGATGAGATGTGGGAATGGCATCACAGGCCCCAATTACCCAACAACAGCTGAAGAATCCTGGGTTTCATCCCTACTGTTGTTGTGGGACTTGATATCAAAAATGCAGAAGAGAGATCATTGGTCTCAGAGTCAAATGATGGAGATACAAGTTCCAAATCTCCTTCTATAATAGTTACATGACAAAGGCACTCCTCTTTCCCTGTCACACCCAAATAGTCATCTGGTCTACCTCTTCTCTCTACCACTCGGTTGCTGGGTCAGTTTAAGCCTCTTCAGCTCTGTCCCAAACCCTACAGCTCACTGATCAGGCTCCTTCCCATCTCTGTCTTGTCAGGTTCGTCTCCCAGAGGGAGCATCTCAAGAGCCACCCTTCCCTGTTCAAAGACCTCCTCTGACTTCTGGTGGCCCATTGGGCAAAGTCCACATCCTAAAGGCTCTTCCCTCTCTACGGTTCACATCTCCAGGTCCATCTCCTCCTCCTCCTCCTCCTCCTCCTCCTCTTCCTCCTCCTCCTGCTCCTCCTCCTGCTCCTTCTCCTCCCCCCACTATTTAGACTCTGCACCATACATAATGCCCATGTCATGTTACAGTTCCAAGCCTCTTCCCAGAATGTCTTCCTCCATCACACTCCACACCCTTTCTCCAATCTGCTCACTTCCAGCTCATTTTCTGGACCAACCTCAAGCTCACTTCCCCCATGAAGATATATCAGTGGTTGATCACTTCCTCTTCCAGGTTAACAAACCATCCTGTTCATGCCCACATCTCACCTATCACAGAAACATAGCTACTTGTTCCATGCACCTTCTCTCCCATGATGAGCTCCTCTAGGGTACAAACCATTTCTTGTTCCTCTTTCTACTCAGAGGACAACAAATATGCCCATGAAAAGCTGGCTGGATGAAACACAAAAGGAGAAAGGGGAGAAAGAGAAGGAGATAAAGAGGAAGTGGGGGAGAGAGGGAGGTGAAGGAACATGGAGACAAAAAAAAAGGAGGCATTTCTCCTTTAAGGAGCCTCTGGCAAGAGTGCCTGGATTAGCAGAGGGCCTGGTGGCAAACCAGAGTCTGCACCCTGGGGGAGGAGGGTCAGAAGGAGGTCACCAGGCAGAGGCAGCCCTGAAGGCCTCCATTTTGAGAGGCTGGCTGTGAGCCACCAGTCTCACTGCGGGTGTGGGGATGGGGTGAATGCTGAGCCCAGTCAAGTGGCCTTTTCTGGGAAAAATGTAAAAAGATCTGCGGGAGGAGAGGCTAGCTAAATACTGTGGTAACAGTAGAGGCGAATTCCAAGTCAACCCACTTAACTCTCAACCTCGGTCCAACTTTTCACAGAGATAAATTTGCGGAAATCATTAATGAGCCGTGTTCTCTGGAGCAGACTTTGCTTCCAGCCCCCAGGAAGGCCCACCCACGGGGCCTGCAGAAGCTCACCAGAGTCCAAGCCTTATGCTTAAAAAAAATGTATCCGCCTCTTTCTTAACTTTTTATTCTAGTTCATAATGTTCCGGACTCTACTTGGCTGTGCACTTGCCTATTTTATTGTATATAAACTTTTTAAGCCATCTCAAATACTTTATTAAAAAAAAAAAAAAAAGAAGAAGAGTTAGATGCCTACATAGATGCTTGGTTAGCTTCCTAACTGGAGCAATTCCCAACCTCTTAGCTATTCATCAAGATGGAGCAAACCGAAACACATGAGTTTCAATTCTTATTTTCCCATGTCTGAGTGAACAGCCCCTTGGGACAGCTACTCTGAGTCAGAAGGCAGCCAGTGGGCAGAAGAAAAAGGAGAAGAATGTGGAATTTATAATCCACAAAGAGGATTCATAAAATGCTAAGTGCTCTTCTTTAGTAGAAGTTATCAGATGATGTCTGGAACAAAAGGGGGCTACATTTTTTTGTATATATCAAGGAAAACACATTCCAGTGCAATTCTGGTTACTAATCTACTGCAGGAAAATGACTGAGCTACTCTCTACAACTTCATGGAGTTCGATTTTTTTTCTGAGGCAGTTACTTCTCTCTGAATTTCCCAAATTCCTGGACAAAAGTGATTCTAGCATCCCTGCCACCTCCCCGCCCTCCTAAAAAATAAATAAATAAATAAATAAATAAATAAATAAATAAATAAATAAATCAGTGTGTCCAGGTAAAATGCCTGGTGAGCTTAGCAAAGCTGTCCTATCTCACATTGAATTGGTTGAGCCTCAAAGTTCTTACTATGTAGTCAACACGGGGAACCCATTAAAAAGTAATAATAATATTAAGACATGATTAGCTGATTTATAGAGGCTCAAACAAGCGTTTTAACACAACACAACTAGAAGGCAAAAGATTTGGCATCTATTTCCCCCTCCCCTCCCAAAGAGATTATAGGTACTTTATTCTCAATTTCAAATTATGTTTGTAATGATTAATTAAAAAAACCTTAGTAAACACAAGAAAGCTTAAAAAATGAAGGGCCTCCCTTCCCCTACCCCCCAATTTATATCAGTAGACTTATGAACGACAACAGAGGCCCAGCAGATGTGGCCCAGTTCCCAGCATCCTCTACGCGCTGGGGTGGACACAAATAGGGGAGGCTTGGTGCCCCACCTGAGCTTCTCTATATGCTCATTTCCGGTAGATGACCCTCTCTCTTCCCTTTGAGCCATTCACCCGTCAGCGTCCCCAGGCCCCAGGGAACTCACCAGATTCTTCCCCAGAAGGCATTCAGCCATCAGAGCTGCCCCAGATCAGAGGAGCCAGACCACAGGCCACCACAGAACTCCTGTTTTGGTGCATCAGGAGTTCAAAGGTTTTTGTGGCTAGCCCGGGAACTTTACCATCCATCATGCCATTGTTGGCTGAAGAAATATTTTCTCGATTTTAAAAAACAAACAAACAGCTTTCAAAGAAATCTTTGGAACATGATGCAATTGAAAACTGTACCATTAATAGTTTGAAAGGTATTTTTCTTCCTGTACCAAAATTAGCATCAAGATTCAGCTGTATTTCTTTTTACACTTTGAAATGCTATTATGAAAAGGATCTCAGCAGCTACTTTATGGTTTATAAAGCTAGCTCATGCGCTTGATCTTATTTGCTCTCTCAACCAACCCCCGGAGGCCGGCAGAAAGGTGGTTTGAGCCTCACTTTTCAGATGAGGAGACCCGAGCCCAGAATGTTCGCCAGTGAACTAAGTGAGGTGGGCATCTCGGGCTCCGACTCCTCGTCCGTTGTCTCCCTCACTCCATTTGGCCGTCTCTAAAAAAGCGTTTTATTTTCTCAGTCATCTGGAATATCCATAACCAAAAATCCCTCGAGCTTTATCTCAGCTGCCAACTGCAAAACGGTCCACTTCCCGCTGATGAAGTGGCAGGATAAACAGGACCGCCAGAGACCACGAACAGTGTCAAGTGATTTAAGACCAAAGCCACACCATTTTCCAACCTCAGCAAAACCATCTCCCTCTATTAATGAAAGCACATTCAGTTTTTGGATTTGTGCCCGCCCAACTGAGACCACATACATGCCAAAACCAGAGCCTCTGTGGTAACCCAAGAAGTTTCATATTGTCTCATGTGCAATTAGTACAGTCCTGGCTGAGACGAAAGAAACCAGTGACAAGATGCTGCTATATACATGAAACCACAAGCACCAAAAACCCCTAAGCATTTCATTAAAATCAAGACACATGCATTTGAGAGTGATATTAACTCCAAATCCTTGATGATGCCTGCTGCCTGGCTATGGAGCCAGTTTGGCACATTCTTTCCGTGGGTGATCTATGTCAGCAGGAACTGGTTCTGTCCTCCTCAAACCCTCGGTGTCCTACTTTGAGACTCTATTTAACATGTGCCTGGGTTTATTATATATCCATTTATTTCTCCTACGTCAGTTACCTTGGTAAAATGAGCAGGTAGCTGCTGCTTCTAGTCGGGGCTATTATAATATATGTATCACGATAGCTGGCATTTTGATTGACATATAAACGGTGTACAATGCCAACGCAGCATAGTAAGGGAAGTGAGTGTGAAGAGGCAATGCACTAAGAACTACCAGGGATGACGCCGATTTTCACAATTTCATGTTAAAGTCAGGGACGTTTCTCTACGGCCACACAAATACAACGAAGGGATGAGGCTGAAGCCGATAGGACAGCAGTTGAAAGCAACGGGCTCTCCCCAGAAATAGCAGGGGTGGGAATACTTATTTCTTGCTTTTGATCTGCCTTTCTTATAAGGAGACTTCCTTTGGTGTAATCCTTCTGGCCCCTCTTCACCTCTCACTTCCTGTTGGTGAGCACAGGTGTCCCCTGCTCCCCAAGGGGCGGCAGCAGCCTGGGACTTGGTGAGCAAGTCTAATTTGGGTTCAGGGTTAGATAGCACCCCTGCCTTAGTTTAAGCTATAATCCTCCAACCATGGTGATCACTTTCTCCCCTTTCCCATTTGCCTTAGTTTTTCTCTTATTTCCAAGTTCAAAACCACAGACATATGTTTAGAGCCTCCCTAAATCTTCAGACGTGTTGTGTCTGGAGAGGCCAAGGTGAAAATGAGTTGCCTATATGTAGCTCCTTCCCCAAGAAGAGAAGAGCAAGGCTCTGCCTGTCTAGTCGCTCATGGGAGAGTGGCTGGTTAGTTATACACTACTGGGTATCCTTCACAGAAATACAGGGAACTTCGTAAGTAGAAAATAGCTGCCCCCTTGCCACTAACAAATGCATCATGAGGAAACTAGCAAGCCTAATAACCAACACCAAAGATTATAACAAAAATACACACGCCATTTTGCCCTGGCCAGCATTTCTCAGAGGTTAGAGCATCAGCCTGCACACTGAAGGATCTAAGGTTCGATTCCTGGTCAAGGGCAAGTACCTGAGTTGTGAGGTGGCTTCCTAGCCTTGGTCAGGCACTGTGCGAGAGGCAACGAATTGATATGTTTCTCTCACCTCTCTCTCTCTCTCTCTCTCTCTCTCTCTCTCTCTCTCTCTCTCTCTCTCTCTCTCACTGTCTCTAAAAGCATTTTATTTTCTCAATCATCTGGAATATCTCTCACTCTCTCCTTCCCTCCTTCCCCTCCTCTGTCTCTAAAAATCAATGGAAAAAATATTGAGTGAGGACGCTAATAAGCAAAATACGCCACACATAGCACTCTAGTTAACTGTGCTGCACTCTATCAATTTCCTAACGTAAGATGTCACCATTGGGAGAAGCTGGGCGACAGGTACACAGGACCCCTCTGTTATTTTCTCAGCATCCTGTGAATCTATACTATACTAAGTTTAAAATAAAAACTAAAAAAGGCAGACCCAAAGAATAAACACATGCATTCCGCTTAATATTAAATTCCAGAACAGCAGAGTTTATCTATGATGAAAGAGATCAGAAAAATGGTTCCCTGTGGTGGAGGTGGGTAGGAAAGTAAGAATTAGCTGACAAGAGGTGGGAGGGAATTCCTGAGAAATTCACATCTTGATGAGGATGTGGATTACATAGCTGGATGCTTTTGTCGAAACTCATCAAATATCAGAACTCAGAGTCTCACTGTATTGTAATAAATTACAGCCCTCAGTGAAAGCAAGGGCCTCCTCTGCTTCCTAGCCAAGTAAAGTCTTCCAAAGAGTTGCTTTAAAGATATATTCTTTGTCTAATCATCCAACCGCTAATAAAGTTATCTGTGCCAATTTAAGAAATATAATCATAGAAATATTTCCTTCCATTTTATGGGTAAGATGTTTATTTCCTCCAGAAACCAGATCAAGGTTCCATCAAGTAGAAGTTACTGCCTTGGTCCTGATTCCATGATCTGAAGAGGCAGACTACCCATAGGCAGGTTAAGCCAGAGAATGAGAGTTAACACACTTTCTAGCTTATGTATGTATACTCATAATTTATATGGTTGAGATTGTTTTTTGTTTTTTTTTTAAACTAGATAAGAATTCCAGAAGCTATTGCATAAAAACTAAAACAGAGTGAACATCTCAATTGGAGAATGGTTGATTATTTGAGGTATTGACAGAATATTACGCTGTCATTAAAAAGAATAAAATAAGTCTATAGAGATGACTCAGGGGTTTACTATTGTCAAGTGAGAAAGGAGAAGTAAGTGCATGCCTACATTCTTTTTGAAAACCTACGAGTATATTAAAAGCTGCTGAGCACATCAGTGTGAACAGAGTTGGCTTGCTGGGTAGACCAAGAAGGAGAAAAAGGGAGAGAAAATAATGATGGAAAACAAGCAAAAACAACTATTTAAAAGAATCAGGTCCATGATAAAAAGCAAGAATTATATAAAATTATACATATGTAAGCATATCTTACCTAATAAAAGAAAAACATGCAAATTAACCATCACTCCACTACACCCACAGCCAATCAGAGTGAGTATGCAAATTAACCTAACAAAGATGGAGGTTAATTTGCATATGCAGGCACAGAGTGGTGTGAAGCCTGCTATGAAGGGAAGGGGGACGGTGGAAGGAGCTACTGGAGTAGTGCTCCAGACAGAAGTGAGGACTTGAGAGCTCCAGGTAGCCTGGGAGCTGGGACATGCTGGCTCCTGGTAGGAGCGAGGATGTGCCAGCTACTGGGCAGCTGGGATGGGGAGTGGACACTTGCTGGCTCCCAGGCAGCTGAGAGTGAATCCAGGGGCCTATTCTCACATGAATATCATGCAACGGGCCTCTAGTATATGCATAAAAATGCTTAGAAAAGTGGTTACTAAAATGTTAGAGGTATGTTATCTCAGGGATAAAGCTGCTTTATTTTTACACTTTTTTGTATTTTAACATATATATATTTTTTTCATGCTGCCAGTGTCATTAACTTATTCAAACTTTCCCTCAATAAATATATCCAAAATAACCATCTATTGAGGGAAGGTTTGAATAAGTCAATGACATTGGCAGCACGAAATGACATTGGCATTCTCTTAAGTCTTCTTAGCCCAAAGATGGCACATCCAGTGGAATTTAATGAGTCATGACTAAAAGAGATTTTTACAATCTTTTTTAAAATGGAGACAGACCACAAATCCAGAATTAATAATCATCATAAACACTTTGAGCATCTTTATACCAGGGCCTAAATCTAATTTTTAACACACTTTCCCAAAGGCTTCAAGTGCTCTGAGTACTTAATCAATCCTCATTAATTGACAAGCACATTTCAAATCTCATGAATTATTACATCAAAGATGCTATTATATGACATACAAATGCTATTAAAGAGTAAAATCTCATATAAAAAGAATATGGGAGCTGAAGTAGCACCAATGAAATAATTCAACTATGAAATTTAATCTGCCACAAAAGAAATAATAGAACTCTAACACATAATACATTTTTCCTTCCTGCCCTGGTCATACTAAATGTATTCAGTTTTGTTACCTTCATTCCTATAACCTCAAGCCTACATGTCATCTACACACCTCTTCAAAGACTGTCCACTCAATATCATTAACTTTCTGAGTGTTTTTATTATAGATATAATATTCATGACATTCACTACCTGTCATCATGAATAATCTCCATTTATATATATAAAACCCTAATATGCAAATAGACCGAATGGTGGAACAACTGAACAACCAGTCACTATGATGTGTGCTGACCACCAGGGGGCACACACAGAACATGGAGGACATCAGCTACAGTGGGATGGTGGAGCAGGTGAGGGGGGTGCCAGACCAAGGTGGGGTGCTGGTCACTGTCATCGGGGTGAGCCTCTGGTGGTTCCTGAAAATGCTTTGCTCCTGTGTGCAGCAGTCTTGCCTGATGCTCACATCTCCTGCCAGCACCAGCACTGCTTGCACCCACTGCCAACACCCGGCGTTGGCCCCAATCACTTGACGCCATTAGTGGGTGTGATTGGTGCTGCTGGCCCCAATCGCCCCTCAGGGCTTCTCCACCTCCTCCTGCTCCTGAGGGGCAATCAGGGCTGGTAGGTATAACGTGCACCTGCAGCCAGCACCAGAGCCACAACTAGTCCCCGCTGCCAGTGCCTAGCACCAGTCCCAATTGCTTGCCACTGTCAGCAGGTGTGAGTGGTGGCTGCTAGTCCTGATCACCCCTGAGAGTTTCTCCACCTTTCCCTGCTCCTGAGGGGCAATTGGGGCAGCAATGGCTTCTTGCACCCACTGCTGGTGCTGGCCCCGATTGCTCCACATTGTTAGTGGGTGCAAGTGGCATCAGGGATGCAGGGCTGCCATCAAAGAGGGGACCGGGGCACAGAGAATGGGCCAAGACCCACCCCTGTCCCACCACAGCCTCGTGGCCCATAGTGCTTTTCAAGGTGCACAAATTTGTGCACTGAGCCCCTAGTATAATTATAATTCTGATTATAATATGCAATTGTTTTGCAGAGAGGCACTGCTTTTTCATGGTTCCAGGCCTCCTTTCTCCGCAGGATAGGGGAAAATTTGTTTGCAAGCTGTGTGGACAGCTGCTTCATTCAAAGTCTTGGAAATGGGCACACACAGGGAGGAAGTGGGGCACTGACTGATGCCCTTGATACTCAAGGCCAGGCACTCCCGCCTACCTGTAGGCAACAGCCCACCTGCTAAGACATTCGCCTGGCAGATAACTGTCACTAGGTAACAGGAAAACTAATTTATCACATCTTACCTTTTGAAGTAAAATACTTACTTGGACTAACAAGTGGCCTGAATTGGGCAAACAGGTGCCACATTTATTGGCAATCTCATTTATTTGCTCTATCAAATTCATCAGTATTTCCACAGCACCTTTGCTGATCATTTCATTAAGAAATCCTGGATTTCCAGAAATGAATTTGATAGCCCCCATGCAGTATAAAAGAGCTTCAGTGTTAGTATGCAGGTCTTCACTTCTCAGGACCTCCAATAATGATTCTGTCAAAAAGATGAATTATTACAAACGTATGATTATAACAGCTGGGGAGAAACATAGTAAAGTGTGTGTTTATGAACATCAAAGACAATTTGTAGAATGTTAGTCAGAACCTACAGTCCAATGCTTGTTAGGGGTTATTGATAGGTATAAAGAGGAAAGCCTACTTTTAGCTAAATCTTCATAATAGTAAAAACAGAAGGAAGGGATTATAATCTCTCTCTCTCTCTCTCTCTCTCTCTCTCTATATATATATATATATATATATATATATATATATATATATATATATATATAAAAGGCTAAGTTACTGTCTGACCAACCAACCATCCGACTGGCCCGTAGGTATGACGTGCACTGACCACCAGGGGGCAGATGCTCAATGCAGGAGCTGCCGAGCAACAGCAACTTTGCAGAGTGCCCTCTGCACTCCAGGACCCCTTGAGGAATGTAGGAGAGCTAGTTTCGGCCCAATCCCCATAGGCCAGGCTGAGGGACCCCACCTGCCAAAGGGACCCCGTTCACTCTGCAGACACCCTTTAAGCCACGGCGCTGCCCCAGGTGCAGCTGGCCAGGGAGGGACTGACGGAGGTTGGCTACAGGGCGTGCCTGGCCATCTCGGACAGTCCTACCCTGCCTGCCACCTTCCAATTAATTTCCTTTCAATGTGCACGAATCTGTGCACTGGGCTACTAGCATATAAACAAGAAAGTGTTTTTTAAATGCCATTCCCTGCCTCTTACCAGCCTTGGTTTTGGTTACAAACATTTTGAGTTATTAACTTATTATGAAAGCAATTTAAGAGATACATTTCAACAAACCATTTAAAATAGAACAGTTGTTTTATGAATTGAAAATGAATCATGATAGGATCTTTTAAAAAATATATATATATATTATTGATTTTTTACAGAGAGGAAGGAAGAGAGTTAGAAACATCAATGAGAGAGAAACATCAATCAGCTGCCTCCTGCACACTCCCTACTGGGGATGTGGCCACAACCAAGGTACATGCCTTTGACCAGAATCGAACCCGGGACCCTTCAGTCCCCAAGCCGACGCTCTATCCATTGAGCCAAACCGGTCTCGGCTATGCTGCCTTCTTTTAGATCAGCAATATTATTTCATAAAAGATTTCTGTTTAGGTAGCTATTAAAGCATCTTAATTATTTAAGGATATGTCAAGAATTAGACCATATTAGCTAGAGTGTAGTAAAATTCTCTACATATTAAAAACACATTTGAGATACTTTGATGTCAAATTCTTACAATAGTTACAGATGTCTTCTACGTTTTAGTCATTCCTACTACATCAAAAGGCTGAAATGTCAATTATGTCACTACTACATGAAATGTGGTGGTTTTTTAAAATAGTAAATCCAAGACCAGGGAATGAATTTTTAAATAGGGAACATTTTGCAAAGTCACATAATGGAACACAAGCATTAAAAAAATAGTAGGCGATCCTTCTAAGCTCCAAAGGACATATTAAATGGAATGTGAAAAACATAGGGAAGAACAGAATAAAAATAGGTATCACATAACTTCTAATAATAATACTGGAGAATAAAATATTCTAGCTATCACTAATTGTGACTTTGCTCTAAAGTGCAACATTTGGTCAATGGTAGTGCTGAGTAATACTCACCCAGAATGCTGTCACTTTGAATCAGAGAATCATTCTTCTCACTCCTGCTAATTTTAAATATAAGTTTGCAGACATTAAGGAGATTCTTTCTACTCACTTTAAGCTGCAGAGAAAGAGAACACGTTTCTATTATGGATGGAAATAGAAACATCATACATTTTTTAACACAAACACATAATTTTAAAAATTGAGCAAGTGTTTTTTGTTTTGTTTTGTTTTTATCCTCACCCCAGGATTTTCCCATTGATTTTAGCGATAGTGGAAGAGAGAGGAAAAGACACAGAGAGAGAGAGAGAGATCCATGTGCGAGAAACACATTGATTGGTTGCCTCTGGCAAGTGCCCTGACCAGGGAGGGCCCCCGGCCGGGGAGGAGCCTGTAACTGAGGTCCATGCCCTTGACCAGAATCAAACCCAGGACCCTTTGGTCTGCAGGCTGATGCTCTATCCACTGAGTCAAACCGGATAGGGCTCAACAAAAGTATTTTGAAAACAAAGTAAAGTTATAAAGAAATCAACTTTTAAAAGTCCTGGCCACATATTTGCCAACCATCTGATATGAATGATATTTAGAGTAAGCACATTTTAATAAATAAGCATTTATTTTTACTTCATAAGGTCGCACGCTTATATGTGAGATTACTAATTACTCTCTGAAGAATATATGAGGATAAAGGGGGGCATGATGTTGATAAATTTAATTAAGTTGACTAATTGCTTTAAAACACAAAAGTAAAGGAAGATGGACACAGATGTCAGATTAAACTTCCTTAGAAAGCACAGTGGAGGTGAAAGAAAAGAAAGGAAATTATGGTTCTCTTTATCATTTGTGTAAAATAAAATTAAAAAGTCATTCGCTCATTAGATAATATATGTATTTATTTTTAAAAGCTATTCCTGGGATGCTTTGAGATAATGACACATGAAGTTCAAAGTTTAAAATTACCTTCCAAATCACACAAAAGTCTTCAAGTAATGCAGGGGCAATAAGGAAGTATACATTTTTTTAAAAACACAGTATAGAAGGACGAACTAAATTAGCTGTAGAATAGTTTCTAGAATAGTAGAAATTAAAAAGAAAAATTCTAAATGTCTAATATTAAAAATCCCAATATTAGGGAAAAGTTTATCAAATTGTGGAACCTCAATGCTAGCCATATTAAGCAGTCATAAAAAGTATAACTGTGAACACTATGTTTAAAGAGAAAGACATGTATAAGCTACTATCAGATGGAAAAATGATGTGCCCTCATTGCAAGACTGTAAAATATGTTTGGAGGAATGGGGTCATCTGAATAAATAAATGCATCTGTGTGAAAGGGATGGCATATGGGTCATTATTTTATTCTCTAAAATTATATTTTGAATTGTCTTTAAATATCAGTCATTAAAGAGTTTTCAATTAGTTGTTTAAAAGATAGTGGAATTTGCCATACATATTTTTAGATCTGTCCTGTGACTGACCCACAGATATTATTGAGCTCCTGGTGTGTCCCTGGCCCTGCGGTGTTCGCTCTAGGAGACACTGTAATGAATTCGGCCGGCCCCATCTGGAGGGGCGGAGGGAGGGTGCGTTACCCTCTTTCCACTCCCTGCTCTGGGCCCTTTGCCTGTATCTCAGAGCCAGGCTGCACATCGGATGCTGCCATTGCAACGGAGGAGTCTGCTCCTCAGACAGGGCATGCCAACTCATCCTGGCGTCGGCTGGTCGTGTAGTAGAGAGACAGAATCCCAGGCCCACTCAGCAGGGCTGCATCAGAACCTGCGCTTTAACAAGCTGCCCAGGGACCGGTGCACATTCCCCTCCAAGAAGCCCTGCTGAGGAAGCCTCAGAAACTGTCCACACATCTTGTAACAGAAGTCTACCCCGGCCGGTGTGGGTTGAGCACTGGTCTGAGCACCCAGAGGTTGCCCGTTCGATTCCTGGTCAGGGCACAAGCCTAGGTTGTGGCTTGATCCCTCGGGTGGGGGTCAGGGGTCAGGATGTGTGTGTGTGTGGTGTGTGCAGGAGGCAACCGATTGATGTTTCTCTTCTTCTCCCTTCCCCCCTCTCCAAAACTAATAAAAACATTAAAATATTTTTAAAAAGGAAATACAATGTCCTTAATATTTGGGAATATATTTTAACCTGCCAACAATGTTCCACTATATTGTGAGACTCTGAGGTCGAAATCATGATTTATTACTCTTTCCATGGTGGTAGGTAGCCTGTGTGGTATATGGAATAAAGCTTCTTAACTACAACTAACCTCACCCTACCACCTACGTCATATAATTTTAGTGAAAAGTGGCAAAGTGAAACAAACAAACGAGCGAACAAAAAAACGGTGTCAGAGTTTTCATTAAAGAAAACAACAAATAACCCCCAAGTTCCAAGCCTGGCATAAGGTCAATTCATATTCAAAGCACATTCCTACACCTTCTCTTTTGATAACTGCAAAATTATGACTTTGAGGCATGAAGAGATAATAAAACACTAAATCACATGCAAGGAACACACACTGCCTTCCATGAAACCGCGCTCCCCGCCCCACGCTGTCCGATCCCTGAACTCCGGGTCATTTTCTTCCCACAGTGCCCATCGGCCCCTCTGGCACTTGGTGTGTTTACGGTCTGTCTCTCCCGCTGCAGTGCCAGCCCGGAGGGCAGGGGCGATGTTATTCGCTCCTATTTCCAGTGTCAGGAGTCCCTGGCATGGAGTGGGTTCCTTTAGTGGGATATTTTTCTTACGTTAAAAATAGTAGTCTTTTCTATTTAAAGCAAATTTGGAAAATGAAAGGGAAGTTTAAAAACCACTCATAATACTGCCGCTGTATATAATCGCTGTTGACATACTGCTATTTCTTTTCCGTTTTTCCCCCCTCTTTATAGGGCGCTAGAGTTTCCCTCCTGCTGAATAGAATTACATTCATACTGTATAATGTTTATGCTCTAAAAAAAAAATCTTAATATAGACTGATATATTTTTGTAAGATCTTTCCACACAAAGATTAAAATGAAAATGGTCTGACAAACCCCCACTTAACCAAAGAAGGCAAGAAATCAGAACAACGAATACTATGCTCATTGAGGTTTTTTTTAAAACTATAAATAATTTAAAATGGCTCAATTGTTGCATTAACCTGATGGATAAAATAAAGATGGGCAGGAAGAAGTTGTCCAAACCTTCTTAGTCCTATATATATATATAGCTTCAGTTTTAGGCTGATTCTTTTCAGCAGCTTTTCGTGTGGTCTTTTAAAAAAGTTACATAGAATCCCAGCACCTGAACAACGCCTTGCCTGGAACAGGACAGGAGACTCGGGAGGCAGAGGGGAAGTCGGGCCTGATGGCCTTGAAGGCCTTCCTGACCCCGTGGCTCGGAGTTCATCGAGGGGACAGCCTGCCCGCCCCTGCGCTCGGGAGTGCAGCCCAGCGAGGCCTGCCTGGCTCTGCAGGGCAGCGGGTCACAGAGAGGGCTTCGTCTAAACCGGTGGTCGGCAAACTGCGGCTCGCAAGCCACATGCGGCTCTTTGGCCCCTTGAGGGTGGCTCTTCCACAAAATACCACGGCCTGGGCGAGTCTATTTTGAAGAAGTGGCGTTAGAAGAAGTTTAAGTTTTTAAAATGTGGCTCTCAAAAGAAATTTCAATCGTTGTGCTGTTGATACTTGGCTCTGTTGACTAATGAGTTTGCCAACGACCGATCTAAACACACGTCTCACTCAGAGCATGCTCACTGCCGGGCAGACCTCTTCGCTTTCTGCTCTGAAATAGTTAAACCGTGCCATGTGTATAATTAATTTGAATGGCATGGCACCTAGAATAACCAAAGTAACGCCTTCTCTGCAATGCGTTAACAGACTCATGGCTTCTTCCTTCTCTCTCTTGCTCGTTGACTTATCCATGTTTTGGCATGGCACGGACAAACGTCTAGGGTCAAGGTTGAAAGCCAAAGGCAGTCCCTGGGCAGCGGGCAGCTACACCGGGAGCGCCCTCCCGCCTCACAGAGGGCCCTCCTGGACCAAACGGTGACCCAAATCCAGGGCCAGGAAGGCAGCTGGACAAGCACGCTGATGTCCGGTCACCTCCACCAACAACGTTTGACTTTGGAAGTTCGCCCTGTGCTTTAGGCTCCTTTCGTTTCACTAAAGTGATCGATCAATTATCATCAGTGAAAGGGGATTCCAACACTACTGACATCACCACTTCAAAGAAGAGTTGCTTTCTGAGTCACATATCCTATCACAGTTTTTACAGGGAGGGTGCACAGTTTGGGATGACAGCGAAATGAAAACGGCAGCTGCTCCAAAAAGCTGTGCTGGACACACGGCCAGAATCTTTTGCTGCATCGACGACATCCCAGTACGGAACGGTGGGCACGCTTCCTCAGCGGCCAGTAGGGAGGCCAGCGCTCACTCTCACCGTGTGCACTAGGGCTTTAAATGGTGTGCATTGTGGGCTGCTTCCATGACAGCTTCCACTTTTATGGAACTGGGTAAACAAAGCTTCGTGTGCTTTAGCGGCTCTCTCAGAACGTCCTATAATGCTTGTGCCTTATCTCCTGGTCCCAACTGTTTATGGCTATGACCACAAAGGGGCCCCCCTCAAACAATGATCTCGTTTTGTTTGAGACAGAATTTTTACGCCTTTCTTTGGTGTCTGGCCTTTGCTTCTAACACCCCTACGGAGTCCTCTCTGACCACCCTCCCATGCCGCATGCAGCTGTTCCCTCTGCTTCACGCTGGCTCACAACGCAGCTGTGCCCGGGCCCCCGGTTATCTTGAAAATTATTTATTCAATCCCCGTGGCGAGTCGAGCGCCCAAACAGAAACTGCAGGGCAGAAACCACAGCCTGAACGTCAATACTGGTCTCCAGTCGAGTTATCTGAGCAAAGGTCTTGAATGTATTTGCCTACTGTCCCATTTTCTAACCCGGCCACAGTCCCAAGGTAGAGTTCATTGGAACAGTGTCTGAGCCCTCGGCCTCAGTTCCTTAGTACATTCTAGTCAATTTCTGGGATGTCGGTTTATTACCTGAATCTTTTTTCAACATTCTAAATGGACACACCGCATTGCTCACCGTCTTGGTGGTGTTTACCAGCAGAGCATGAAACAATACTTTCATGTGCCACCGTCTACCAGACCAGAGGAGAGAAAAACTTACGGCCAGAATGAGTTTCGCCAGTTTAAGGCTGAGTGGGTCTGAGCCGACGTCAACTAGTTTATACAGGGTCTTCAGGAGGCCACTCCTTCTCCTGAATTTCCTTCCAAGCATGTTTCCTTCCTCTAACGTGCGATGGAGTTGTGTGCAAGCGGCACACAGCATCTCCGTGTCTTCTTCTGTCAGGGCAAAGAGAGGGAGGCAGCACTTACTAATTCAGGTCAAGTTTTTTCAAGTGTGTCCAACACAGACAGTGTAAGTAAGAACCCCATGATTTTCTCCCCAGACATCTTCTAATGCCTCAACTATGCCTTTCCCCTTCTCTTAGCATTTTCACCTACCTGATTTCTTCTTCATCTCATTGCTGCATCTCTTACCATGTCCACTGGTGTACGAATCAGTCAGCTAGCTTGTCTAGCACACTTACATCCCTATCTTTAACCCTTTGGGGTGCCGTCTACGGGCCGAGAATGTTCTTCTCCTTGTTCCCATTGATTCTGGTTCTTCAAGGCTCTTGACGTTCTGGCTCATCCAGAAAAGGTGTGCTAATCCACATACAACAAATGTTATCTTGTGCTACTATTTCCACAGGTATATCTATGTATGTGGTGTGATATGTCCAGTGCCTTCAAACAGAGGTCATGCTAAGTGAGTAGGAATCCTGTCTCACACGTTTGCATCAATAGTGCAGCGAGAATACTGTACCGACAACCTGTAACATAGTCTAATGCATATTAACTATCTAATATATCTGTTGATAAAAACAATGATCGATATTTGTGTGTGTGTGTGTGTGTGTGTGTGTGAGAGAGAGAGAGAGAGAGAGAGAGCATAATGCTCATTAGTGAGAACAGAGGGCTCACATGGAACAAAATCTCAAAAATGTCCCCACACCCACCATGTTTTGGAGGTGGTTATTAGAAAAGAGGCGAATAAGAAAGGAGACTTTTGTTAGGAAGCAGGGAGACTAGAACACTTCATTTTGTAATTAGAATTCTGAGGAAAGCCGTTTCTTAAAGTGGCAGCCACACTACCAGGCATACTAGAAAGGAGAAAAGCAGCGGGCACGGAATGTGAGGAGAAACACACGAATCCAAGGTCCACGGTATTCCGTTGAAAAATATTATCTCTGATAGATTCCATCACAAAACTTAAAACTAGGAAACCGATCTTAAATAAATACCATAATGTGCTCTTAAAAGCCCACACAGAGGAAGTGAGCGCCTGCAGAAGGAAATGAGTCAGGCCATTTTTAGCTCTTTTCAACAATAACATCTAAGAAAAAACTTAAAACCTCAATAGCGAAGTAACCTTCAATGCCTTTCAGTTACGCATTTCAAAAAATGAGTTGATGGGAAATGACTTAGACTCTCTTTAAATACAGGGAAAGACCTGAGCTCGACTGTAAAAAACACTTTTGTCTTGTTGTTTTCTATTCTGCGACTGGCAGTTTCTTCAAACCCGAGGCCCGTGGATACAGACGTCAAGGCATTTTCTTAATGCCTCCCTCCACCACGCCTTCAGCCGGGTGGGTTCTACTCAAAGGCATCTGTTTCAGCTTAACATTAAAAAAATAAGGGCCAAGTTTTAAGCTATTGATCAAATGAGCACTTCACACCAGTTGGCTTGCGCCCATGCACATCGCCTCAAGACCCAACTTGACTCTAAGAGCTATCAAGATTTTCAAGGGGCTAAAGCTGTGGAGTGGAAGTTTGATGAATAATATAAAGCAACGTCGTCTCAAAGCATAAGAGGGGAAACAGTGATTTCACAGTAGGAAAACTGTAAGTCCTGCAGACTCACTTCCTAAAAGGCTTAACATAGTATCTGGGGAATCTGGGGGAAGAGCATACAGGGTTTCTTTGAACTATGCTTGCAACTTTTCTATTATGTAAGCCTAAAATTATGTCAAAATAAAAAGTAAAAAAAGAAAAAAGAATCTCAAAGGATCAAGTAACCCAACCTGCCCCTTTTGCTGTCTAAGTTGGCAGACACCAATTTCCTCACGTGGTCAGTGTTCACATCACCAGCAATGGACCACGTTAGCATCACAAGCCTCCTAACAGGATGCCCTGAGGACATAGCGCCATCCATCCCATATGCCTGCCCCAAATGCCCACCTTGGATCTGACTGTGAGAGACTACCAGACAAATCCAATTTGTGGGGCAGTCCATAAATAGTTAGACTGCACTTCTCAGATATGCCAAGACCATGAAGGAGATGTGACAGATAACTGGAGCTTGTGACCACAATTTTCTTTTTCCACAAAGGAAATTATTAGGATAACTGGCAAAAATCTGAATAAGGTTCGTGTAGTACTGCGTGGTAATTTTCAGGTATATAAAAAAATGGCCCTTGCTGAAACCCGTTTGGCTCAGTGGATAGAGTGTCGGCCTGCAGACTGAAGGGTCCCGGGTTCGATATTGGTCAAGGGGATGTACCTTTGTTGCGGGCATATCCCCAGTGGGGGGTGTGCAGGAGGCAGCTGATCAATGTTTCTCTCTCAGTGATGTTTCTAACTATCCCTCTCTCTTCCTCTCTGTAAAAAAATCAATAAAAAATATGTTTAAAAAAAAGGCCCTTGTTTCTAAAAGTATATACCAGAGTACTTAAGGATAGGGACATCATGTTGCCAACTTGTTCTCAAAGGGTTTAAAAAAGGAAAAACAATGTGTATGTGTGTGGGGAGAGGGGGGGCGGGGAGGGAGTGGTCAGAGAAAAAGAGCAAGAGAGGGAGGAAGAGAGAGAGAGAATGAAGCAAATGTGGTAAAATGTTAATATCTGGGGAATCTGGAGGAAGAGCATACAGGATTTCTTTGTACTGTGCTTGCAACTTTTGTATAAGCCTAAAACTATATCAAAATAAAAAGTGAAAAAAGAAAAAAGAATCTAAAAGAATCAAGTAACCCAGTCTGCCCCTTTTGCTGTTAAAGTTGTCTGTGGAAGACACATCTTACTCCAACGTTTAATCCTTCTGAGAAGAGAGGTTCACTCACATTTCAAATCCCAAGGCCCTATTAGCTCCTGCGGGGGTCCATGGGGCTGAGCCCTCAGAGCCTCCTGGGGTCCTTCAGGCTGAAGGCCTCCAAGAGAGGCCCCCGCACCGCCAGCCCTTCTCCCCGCTGGGTTCCTCCCCGTAAGCCTGCCTGTTAAACTCCTGCCGGACGAAGTGTCCCCTCACTGGCTTTGGCACGCATCTGCTCAAGTAAGGGCTGAAGTCACTAGTAACCGGGCCTACCAGCAAGAGGGCGAAGATGAGCTACTCAGGCCGTATCAGGGGCAGATGTGCCCCTGGTTTTCTAGATCCAAATATGTCTAGATCTAAATCTATGTCCTACTCTCTTCAGTTAGAGCACACCTGTCAGGGGGCCACTCAGAGCACGATGTGTCTCCACCCACAGGTTGAGAACCGCTAGCAGGGTCGCCTGAGACCATCAGAAAACACAGATATTTACATTACGCTTCATTAACAGTAGCAAAATTACAGTTATGAAGTAGAAAGGAAAATAATTTTATGGTTGGGGGTCACCACAACATGAGGAACTGTATTAAAGGGTCGAGGCATTAAAAAACGTTGAGAACCACTGGTCTAGAAGGATAACATCAGATCATGCTTATTCTCAGGAGTTTGAGCAGCAGTGGGGCTTCGGTGAGGATCTGGTCTCACTCACGTCTCACCTGGCAGGTGAGGACACAACTGCACAGAGGACAGGTGAGCCCCCATATATGCAGGCCCCCCACCTCAACCAGGAACACGGCTAAGAACCCACAGGGAGCTGAGCTCCGGTGAGCCTTTTAGGAAGTGAGTCTGTTCGGCGTGGCCGTTCGGGAGGATTCATTTACCCACTGCTCCTGGGGCCTCTTCCTGTGGCTGCCATGCTGCTTTGCTCCTCTCGGGGGCACTCATGCCACAGCTGCCAGGGAAGGCCTGCTGTGCACTGTGTGCCAGGCACTGAGCTCAGCCCTGGGCCATGGCTGCAGCTCCACGGGAGCCTGTTTCAACCTCAGAAGTGGACTCCCCGAGCAATGGCAGAGAGGAAGAAGGTGGGGGCCAGTCCCCTGACTGAAAAGCTCCCCCACAGGTCACATCTGCAGAAGCCTGTTGATCGTGGGCCTTGGCTGCTGGGCACTCTAGAGGGTATGGGCTGGGCACACCCCACGACCCTTCCTGCTCTGAGAGGCACCCGGACAGGTGTGCTCTGACTACAGAGGGCAGGACGTACACATTTGGACCTAGAAAACCAGGGCATGTCTGCCCAGGATGCCCCGCTATGAGACTTCGCCAAAGCTTCAGAGACCTGAAATCTGTTTCAGTCTCCCACTTTCTTGCTTAACTGACACCCTAAAGAGTTCAACCCAGCATCTCTGTGGGCAGGGCAGGTGATAATTAATGTAAATTGCAAGGGGAGTTTTACAGGGAGGCTCTCTTGCTATATTTAAAGTACAATTTTACTCATTAAAAATTAGGTTTACCTACAGTTCTGGGTAAACAGCTAGATGACTTCATTTGTTTTTTAATGAGTTCATAGAAATGATAGTCAAAGTATACTAAAAATATCAGAGCAATGGGGATATATATATATATAACCACAGATATTTCTGATTTGAAACAACAACAAAAAAATACTTTTTTTATTACCTGTTTCTAATTTATACAAAATTGGTACAATCCTTGTATTCCAGAAGACATTGTCTACTTCCATTTCTGTATCCTCTTCTTGCAAGTCAGCCTTTGGACCTGCAAAAGAAACCCGGAGAGCGGCAAAGAGCACTGGAAAGAGGTATAATTGGAGCATCGGCAAAAGCCTTTGCTATTTATCACGAAGATTAGTAAACTCTGGGATTAAATTACATTGTGCCCCCGCAAACTCAACTAATACTGCTTAGAACTACATGCCTTCTAATCAAGTCACCCCAAATTAAACTCCAATAAGATCATGTAAAACTTTTATGGGATACTTCATAAAATCTTAAGCTCAGAAAATGTTGAAATTATTGTCAGTAAGGCAAACAGTTCTGAGTTAACATATCCCTCTCTAAAGCAGAATAAATAGAAAGCTATAGCCAGGTAAAGAATAAAGATCTTGAAAACGTTTAATGGAAAGTTTTCCAACAGGGAGGCTTGCAGGGGTTTTTGGTCCCATCCTGTACAATAAAGAGCTGACTTGCTAATTAGACTGAGCAGCGAACGATCCTCTGGATGACCTTCCCAAGGAAGCCGGGGCTGGGAGGTCCCAGCCTCTTGCACGAATTTTCTGCTCCAGGCCTCTAGTATAAAATAAAATGCCCACAGCTTTGGAGGACCAAGTTAATTTGGTGAAGATGGGGGTGGCGGTGGGGAAAGCATGGGCTTTGGGTGTTGCCAAATCTCAATTGAAATTCAGCTTTATTATTTATGTTGGGTGACCAGGGGCCCATGTTGCATTCTTTCTAAGCCTCATTAGCAAAGCTGAGATTAGATCATTTGCCTTCAGGGTTGTGTGAGTTAAAAGACATGATTCAGGCAAAGCTCTGAGCCCAGGGCCCAGCATAACACTCAATGAATAGCAATTTATTTCCTTGATTAAGAAACAAACGGGTCATCATGTTTGAGGTGTGTTAGGCTGTGTGATACAGCAAATCACGATGGAAGCTGCCCAGGCTGGCAGGCTGCAGAGAGTGACTGCAACCATTCATCATGGGTGTTGGGTACAGCAGGCCCACCTTTTTTTTTTTTTTTTTTTCCCTTGATTTTTTACAGAGAGGAAGGGAGAGGGAGAGAGAGAGAGAGAAACATCAATGAGAGAGAAACATCGATTAGCTGCCTCCTGCACAGCCCCTACTGGGGATGTGCCCACAACCAAGGTACATGCCTTTGACAGGAATCGAACCTGGGACCTTTCAGTACGAAAGCAGATGCTCTATTCACTGAGCCAAACCGGTTAGGGCACAGGCCCACCTTTAATTTCTGTAACAACATGATGTGGAGGCTCCCAAATTGTCTCCATTTTCCAGATGAAAAAAGTGGGACACAGGAGTCTTCAGTTACCTGCCCAGTGTCAAAGAGATCCATGGTCTTTGCACTTGACCTCTATGCTACTCTGCCCTGCAGCAAATCGGCAAACTAAAAGGTAACTTTGAGGGAAACTGCAAATCATATCAGAAACTGTAAATCATGATTACATTTCATAAGGAGTTACCTCAAGATCTGAGATACTGACAGTGCAGCTGGAGGGGCACGGCTGTGCAGGGCACTTGGGCGGGCACTGTGCTGGAGGCATATGCCTCCTCACCTTTCTAGGAGGTGGCACCCCATCTGATTGGATCAGGAAATCTGTGCCCCCCACCCCAATACCAATTAAGTGACCACATAGTGCGTGGACCCTAAAAACGTCATAGGATGAACTAAAAATCATAGGGACATTCACAGGATGGGAGGAGAGAGAGAGAGAGAGAGAGAGAGAGAGAGAGAGAGAGAGAGAGAGAGAGAGAGAGAGAGAGAGAGAGAGAGAGAATTGAAAGGTGTGTGGTCTGACCCTGCCAGCATGGCTCAGTGGTTGAGCATCATCCTATGAACCAGGAGGTCATGGTTTGATTCCCAGTCAGGGCACATGCCCAGGTTGTGGGCTCCATCCCCAGGGAGGGGTGCGCAGGAGGCAGCAGATCAATGATTCTCTCGCATCACTGCTGTTTCTATCTCTCTCTCCCTCTCCCTTCTTCTCTGAAATCAATTTGAAAATATATTTAAAAAGAAAAGTGTGTGGCCTGTATACATTTAGGTTGTTTCAACTGCAAAATGGACAAGCTGACCGGGGAGGCCCATCGGGGGCATGGGTTCTACAGGTATTGTCTGGGTTTGAGTCCTCGCTCTGCCGCCTAGAAGCAGGCTCACGTTGAGCAAGTTGCTTTGCTTTTCCTCTGTAAAATGGGATGACCAAGGTCATCTCAGGTGTTAGGATTATGGGTCATTAATGTCTTTCATGTGCTCTGTTGTATTTTTCAAATCTTCTCACACACTTGTATAACACCTGAACAGAATATTCACGATGCCTATTAAATGAGGGGATGACGCAGAGGGGCAGGAAAGCTATATATGTTCCCTAGGCACCCAGCACACGCCCTGCTGCAAACAGCCACTCCCAGCTGCAGCGAGACTAAGCTCACCTTTTATTAAACATTCTTAATACCGGGAGGGGCTGACACGCACTGGGCAGGAAGAGCACGTGAACAGCCACAGTAGACAAAAGGGGTTGTCCACAAAGTGGTAACTGAGCAGGGTAGGGGCTGTCACTAGTTTTAACTGCAAGGTTTCACATAATGTGTAAGCAAGAATTCACACAAAGCACAGAGTTGAAATGGAAAAAAATTAGCTCATATCAGTGGAGGTTTAGACTCCCTTATCCAAAGCCTTTGGGACCAGATGTGGTTTGGGAGACAGAAAACCTTGCATCTTAGTAAGGCGACATGGTGCACACACTGCGTTTTCCATACCACCCCCAGCAGCCCCCTTGAAGCAAAATACGTGACTGTTCACATTCGTGGCACCAAGACTACACTGGCCTGGGATCAGTACTGCCCAGGCGTTGCCACTAAAGGAGTTTGCAAACCATTTCAGCTTTCGGAGCTCTTGGTGTTTCAGAACTGCAGATAAAAGGTTACTGGCCGCCATCACCATCTTTGGGATCGTGACCTTCAAGAGTCTGCCATAACTTTGATAAATTACAAATCTGGATTCTAAAAGTAAACATGAATATTCAAGCAAGCATAAAACATATAGCTGTTTGTATTCCCAGACATGGCATCTTCAGGGTGCAAAGTATGTGAGTAAAATCAACATAGATCAAGCCAAAAGCAAAAAGATAATGTGAGTCAAATAACTGCATCAACCAACACTTATGCTGCACTTAAACGTACTAGACACACAAATGTCAAGGCAGTGAGCTCCCATCAGCATGTCTATCTCCTATGCAATACACTCTATAATAGAATGGCTCTGAGAAGCCAGGACCATCTACCCCTTTTTCTCAGGACAAACAGAACTGGTAACATTCATCCCAGGAAGAGCTCAGCCAGAGCTCAGCCAGAAATCACAGAGCAGTTTGTTTGACCTTCAGAAAGGAAAGGTCCTCACAGGCCCTTCTGAATGTTTCTCGGGCATGTCTGTTCTCAGAACAGAAGTGAGCCAGGCCCTGCCTGCTGTGTAAGGGTTTGCTCCCCACCCCCTCCCAGGGATCCCTGCGTGAGCAGTTTGTCTCCAGCTCCAGCTCCCCACCTCCAAGCTCTCACCCCCTCCTCCAGCTCTGCTCTCCACACAAATTCCACGTTACACACTAACCAGGAGCTGAAGCATGGACTCATCATGATTCCCTTTTAAGAGTCACACAAAAATAAAGTTTGTCTCAGTCTTGGGCAGCAAGCTAATATTTTAGAAAGCATTTTTACCTAGGTTTACTAAATATAAAAAAGTATGATTCAACAGGAAATTGGGTAAGTCAAGCAGAAATTTCAGCATGTTTTTGAAGATTTTGCTGTCTCAGTGGTTATAGCTCTAAACCACAACTTTGAGCTCTGGACACAAAAGCTTGACACGGTGTTTATTGGCTGATGTTTTTAGCCTGTAAATGTAAAGTCCTCAGCAACAATGCTGACATGGAAATCAGCCCATCTGAGATTTCCCTGAGCACTACAGAAATTCTCATCAGCCAGGAAAGTCATTTTATTTATAAGGAATTTATCTTGAAGATAATAAAAATGTTTTTGAACCCAATAATAGCTTGGTTTAATAAAATCTCATGTCTATAATAAAAGTACAAAGAATATAACAAACACCTGCATACCCTAGACTACTCTGGTCCAATATTAACCATATTAATATTTCCTCCTCCTCCAACTTTTGAAGAACCAAAATGTTACAGCGATAGCTGATGCCCTCTATATGCCTCCCCCCACCTGGTCTTTCCACTCTCTCTTTCCCTCAGGGTTACTGCCATTCTAAATCAGGCGCTTGTTTTTATCATACTTGACTTTACATGTTTACCACATAGATCTATATCCATAAACAACATATATCATTATTTTGCAACTTAATTTTCATGTAATGTTATGCTTATACTCATTTCACTCAATATTTTAAATATAGTCTAGTTCATTTTTCTAATTGCTATATTCCATTGCATGATACATTCTGTATCACTTCTAGTCTGTGATTAATATTGTCCCATATTTTTCTCAACTAATTTAAACACAGGAAAAGCTGTCTTCATACAGTTGATATAGTTTTATGTAAGCGAGTAACGATTTTGAACCAAAGTTTTGAACTCAATAACTACGTGGATGTCATGTTTTGAAACGTTCCAAACGCTTTTACAAAATAATTTCATTAAGAGCGTAACCTATAGATGTTAGTGTGTGAGCTGGAAGAATGGTAAGACTGTTGTTCAGATAATGAAAAGCTGTAAACAATAAAAGCTGCTGGGTGGCCAAGCTGGGCAAAGTTTCTGGAGTTCTCAAATAGGGAGCCAACATCAAGTGTCTTTGGTGTGAACATTTCTTTCTGCAGAAGGGAAGGGGGTGTTGGGGACCTCTCAGAACACAAGCACCTCACCTGCTCTGGCTCCCGGCCTGCTCGGCTCCGAGCTGTTGGGGCACGAGGAGGCCCTCGGGCGCCTGTTCCCCGGGTCCCTAGGAGGAAGAGGAACACACAGCACTCAGCGCAAAGCCAGGGCGCGTCTCTTCTGTAGGACGCATCAGGAGTCGGCCATGCACAGTTTCTGAGGGCCACGGGGCATTGTTTATGAAGTGGGGTTTGGTAACCCAGATCCCATTTTAACCAACCTCTGGTTTCCAACCAAGATTTGCCTTTTGAAAACAAGTCATATTTGCTTAACAATATGAACTATAGTTACTAGAAATAACAACAAAAATAAATCCAAAGTTGACTTTGCAAAAAAAAAAAAAAGAAAAAAAAAGGACTTTTACCACAAGAGGTCACTGTGAGAATAAGAAAGAACTCTTGTAAGCTTGAATTACAAAAGCCTAGCATTTGTGAGCTGGAATCTCTCTCTCTCTCTCTCTCTCTCTCTCTCTCTCTCTCTCTCTCTCTCTCTCTCTCTCTCTCTTCTTCCCCACCCCTCTATCCCCAACCAAAAAAAAAAAAAAAAGTTTTCAAATTCATCAGATGTTCCCAAGGTCACAGAGCAAGGTCAGATCTAGAGTCCAAGTTTTATAATTTCCAATTCACTGCTCTTTTCCACCACAGTGTCCTGTTTCCTTTTAAAAATTAAATGAATATTCTCTGAAAATGTTTTATTTTTAAACACAATTTAAATGTTAAAAAACTGAAGGTCAATTTAGGCAGTCCTAGATGACAAATATTTTGTGTTACAAATAAAAGAGTAATGGCTAGCCAATAGCAGGATTATATACCTGTTTCACTTTTAATTAAGGTTACATTTAATATAGAGATGGTCTATGATATAATTTCTCTTTAACTAGAGCTGAAACTTAAAAGTACTTACTTTGAAATATCTGTATAAAATTCCAAGACCAAAAAAAAAAAAAAAAAAACCACTGAGAGAATAGTGAAAGTTTTGAAACAAAATTTTATTAATCAAATATAATATTTGCTCTGAAAGCCATAAGGAGTTTACAGACATGGGGCCAGGGTCACCCATGGACACCCATCTGTATGCCCATTGCTCCTGCTGCCTGTGACATAAGATGCCCATGAATGTCCAGCGCTGGTCTTGCTTGACCTTTCCTACTGCCCCAAGGATTAGCTTCTCCAAACATAATTTTCCCCCACAAATAGGTCCTTTTTCTCTAACCCTTGATCTTATCATACAAGAGAAAAGGACAAGCTAACCTTCTACAAAACGTCTGATTAGTTAACACTCTGAAAAAATGACTTCATTTTTATGCAGGTGAAAACATAGGCCTGGTAGCAAGGTGTCTCTGGCCCACCAAGCCGAGACATGGGGATGAGATTCCTGTTGTCCACACTCTCAAAGAAGATAGAAGGATGAAGTAAATGAAGCAGATCTCAAAGAAGATAGAAGGACGAAAAGAGAAAAACAGCACACGTTTGGCAGGGTGTGAAGCTGGAAGTTTCCATAGTTAGCACCCCTAGGAATAACAGGGAAGTGTGAGGACAAGAGAGGCAAGGTCCTCTTTTCATCACTGTCCTGAGCAGCTGCTGACATCAAGCAAGATAGTTTTCAGTTGATGGCCTTTCTTTTTTAAATATATTTTATTGAGTTTTTACAGAGAGAAAGGAAGAGGGATTGAGAGTGAAAAACATCGATCAGCTGCCTCTTGCACATCCCCTACTGGGGATGTGCCCACAACCAAGGTACATGCCCTTAACCAGAATCGAACCTGGGACCTTTCAGTCCACAGGCCAACGCTCTATCCACTGAGCCAAACTGGTTTCAGCAGCTGATGGCCTTTCAAAGTCACTGTGGACATGGCCAGTGACGAGGTTGCCTTCCTCTATACCACATTTGTGTACCCCTATTTCAAGGGTGGGGGAGGGGGGGTCCTTCTCAATACACAAGCTCAGCAGTGCTGGACAAGGGCTCTCGTTCTCAAGCACAACACAGGCCTGGAATTGGCCAACACGGAGCATGACCATCGTGGTACAGCGATTGAGTGTGCAGGCTCTGCACACAAATTACCCAGGTCTAAGTGCCGTGTCCAACACTTACCAGCTAGGTGACCTCAGGCAAGTTCCTTAGCCTCCTGGCCTTGATTTCCTTATCTTAAAATGAATGCAATGCCTCTATTTAGTACAGTTATTGGTACATATGAATAACTCAAGTTGTCAATGTTATTTTTGTCTTTAGTTCTGAGTCAACAAACACCTGTCTAAGCAGTCCAGTGCTAAATGTTACTGTGATAAAGAACATTGGAGTGAGTTGCCCTAAAGAAATTTAAAGTCTACTATGAGGAACTAAGGGACTTTTCTTTTTAACGGAAAATTCCAATAGAATCTCTATATAAGTACTAGAATGTGAAGTTCAGTGGGTTGGACGAACTAGAGGGAGGCCAAGAAGGGAGACGTGGAGCACAACGTGGGCCTTCAAAGGATAAAAGCAAGTGACAGACCTACTCTCAGCATGAGTGAAGTTAAGAGGGGCGTGGGGAGCCCATTTCTCAGGGCAGGGGAGAAATGCACCCAGCCAGCAGGATAGGAACAGAAGGTTTCTGCTGGGAGCTAACAGCTACCTGAAACTTCCAGTGAGTCCATGGAACCAACGTGATGGGCAGGGAGGAGCTGTCATGGGCTATTATACAAGCAAGATATATGAGATTTAGAAGTATCCAGTGGCAAGAATATTTAGGAGACATGGAGAGAGGTTAACAAGGATGAATTCTTCCAGGGTGAGAATGGGCCTGGACAAGAAAGAATAAATACCGGAGATCCTATACATAAAAAGATGATAGAATTTAGTGACTGATTTCAGACAAAACAAACAGAAGGTAGAGCTGGAGGCATAGGGTAGTAGGGCTGCTACCTAGAATGGGGAAGGTGGGGAGTAGAACAGTAAGAGGTGTGAAGCAAGTTTGGGTTTTGCCACGTTGACTTTCTGGAAAGGAGATGTGGAGATCAGGACAAGATGGTTTTATCTGTCAGAGGTCAAAGCAGCAGAGGAGCAGCAGCTCAGAAGACCCGACCCATGGATCAATCCTGTAAGAACAAGGGAAAGGGTGGAAAGGGGAGAGGGAGTCCGTCCAAAGGAAGAGGAGAAATAAAAGATGCTCTCATGTAGCCCCAAATGTTGTGAAAATGAGTATGATTAACAGGTCCAGAAGATTAGGACTGAGGGAGAACTGTCCAGAAATATGGTGTTGAGTCAATGATCTTAAAAAAAAAAAACCCTCTCTCCCCCTTTGCTAAAGAGGAGGAGATTAGATGGCCTTATACTCAATGGAAATCTATTTCCCTGTAACTTCTACCCATTGGTTTTGTTTCTACTTATCGGAGCCACAGGAAACAAGTCTTCATCCTCCTTCTTCTTGGCAATCCTTGAAAGATGGTACATTCACCACTTAATGCCATCTCCTATGACTTAAAGCCCTTGGCTCTACTACCTACTAGCTGTGTGAGCTCTGGTAAGATTTTTACCTAAACTTTAGTTTCACCTGTGTATTGGGGGGTGGCAAATAATGGTCCTTCTCCCCGTAGGGTTGTTGTGAGGATGGAATGATATAATGTGGAGTCTGGGCACATGGTAAGTACTTAAGTGTTTACCATCATCGCAGCTGCTGTTATTGATGTCATTAACAAACTTCTCAGGTTCCTTCAAATGTTTCTCATTTGGTAAGGTTTTACATATCCTTGCCAGCCTGTTTGAGTCTCCCTGAGTGTCTGTTAGTCTGGATCCCTTCTAAAGTCTGGAACCCAGCACGGCGCTAAAGGAGCAAAGAGGTGATAGTCTAAATAATACCGCCCGGCACTGTATTAGTGGTTTTGGTGGTCACTTCATGGTGCTGGCCAAGTCTTGTCTTTTCTTACACATGCAGCTCATTCTTATTCATTTTCTTAAACTCGTTCCTATTGAATTTCAGTGTTATATTTGGTAAAATGTTCCTGCCTATCAGATGGTTTTAGATCTTGATGCTGTCATCCAGTATAATTGCTCCTCTGCCCTGTTTCCTGTTCCGTGTTGTTAAAGGCCATAATTATATTTTCCCATGATTTTGATGTACCAGGGATAAAACAATTCCAGAAATTATTCTTTAGAGCTATTCTGTAACATTCTTCTTAGAGGTAGAATAACTCCATTTTATTTGTTAAGATTGTTTCATCTACAAATAACAAAAACCTAACTCTAACTGAAAGACAATGAATGAAATTTATTGGCTCCTCTAACCCAGAAGTTGAGTGCTAGGGTGGGTTTCAGGCATGGTGTGATCAGGGCTTTGGCTCCATCTCTCTGTAATTCTCTCAGGTCTGTCTTTCCTTTGGTCCCATCTGTAATCAGGTTGGAGTTCTGAGGAAAGCAAAATGGATTTGGCATCCCAGGCTTCTCATCTGCAGCCTACATGTTTCCCAGTTATTGACAAAGGTCCTCATTTCACTCTGAACAATCAGAACCAAACTCTGTAGCCGAGGCATTGCCATACACAGACTGAGTTACTAAGGCCCATGCATGAATCAGTCACACTAACAACATCAACTGCTGGATAAAATATACACTGAAAATAAACAAACAAACATATAAAATATACTTCTTTAAAACTATCCTAAAATTCAGATTTTGCTATAATCAGATAGTTTTTTCAATCATTATGAGTAAGGTTTTCATAATCAGGGGTCAGCAAACATTTTCTTGAAGAGCCAGACAGTATGTATTTTACACTTTGTGTGCCAAGTGGCAAATGGAGGCTAGTATGTGGGGACTTTTGTGACCATTTAAAAGGTCATGACTTAGCCCTGGCCAAGTGGTTCAGCTGGTTGGAGGTAGCCATTTGGTTCCAGGTCAGGGCACATATCTGGGTTTCAGGTTCGATTCCTGGTTGGTGGGTGTACAGGAAGCAACAGATTGATGTCTCTTTCTCTCTCTCTCCCTACCCCCTTCCCTCTCTCTAAAATCAATAAGCATTGACCAGATGAGGATTAAAAATCCTATCTAATAAAGAGGGAATATGCATATGTTCATAACAAGATGGCTGTGCCC